TTTTATACATTGACCCAGTTCACATGATCTCCACAACTTAAAGAAGCTATAGTGGCTTGTTTAACCCATGGTGAATATGTGAACCAGGCTACCTCTCATATGGTTATTTTTTCCATTGGTAACACAACCGTGAAAAACATCCACCTATGTGGGTTCACTGTGATAACAAGGTTAACAGCCAGGGAGACTACTTATGAATCAGGATCTGATAACTGCTCTTGCTAACTATGATGCCAGAACAACTAACATGAACTGAAGACCTTTTATATCCTGTTGCTGGCATAAGAAATGATCAGGGGGAAAACAGTAACCACATGAGGAAGAGAACAGCTGAAGAGGGAGACATGTTAGTGACTGGAACAAACCTCGAGATTTAACATTTGCAGACATTTTGAAGCCTTGAAAAAACCCCCAGAGGTGGTGTAGAAAACAAATTTGGGGAAAAGGGGGAGAAAGAAGCAGCACTTCTATTTTTCCTACTCTTACAGGCATAAAGGCACTTGACTGTTTTAGGATAGACTTTGCCAGCTTAGGAGAGATCTATGCTACATCCTCTTTCATTTATGAGGGAATACAATCATAGGAAAAAGGAGGCATAGAAATATAATCAATAATAAATAAATAAATAGCATTTATGCAAGATGCATCCATCACAGCTGGGGCATGAGCTAATGAACACAACACAGTATTGAGAACATGATCCTGTGTCACATACAAATGCAACTGCCGGAGATGTCAGAGGGGTTGGAAAAAGAATGTGTTTTTCAAAAAATGGCCCTTTCAGGTTCATTTGCTTTTCGTGTTTTTCAGTTCAAGTAGTTTTGTAATGCTACAAAGGAGTGAAAGGGTGAAAATATTTAGGAAAGGGAAAAGTAACTGGCAGGTGTTCCTTTCCTCTAGCATACAAATTATTCAGAAGAAGAAAGGGTGTTGTTGCATGTTCCTGCCCTCCCAATCCCCACAGGGTGACACCAGTGGGACCAGCACCCAAAAGCAAGCAAGTACAACCTCCTCCTGTGCAGAATTTCCCACAAGTTCACTCCATTGATGTCAAGTTATTTTACTTGTAAGGGCATTGAAAATAATCTGATTTACTTCTGCATAAACATGCATAATTGTTTTTCAAGTAAAAGGACTTAAGGAGGCAATTCTATTTTCCAAGGTGAGGGGAAGATGTATTTGCAAGTCAGAGAAAGAAAGATGCTGAAGGGAGCCAAGAGAGGCAGGAAAGCAAGGGAAGCCTCTCTCAGTTGCTGTTAAAATACATCCTTTTCCTCCCACAATGCAACAGCCCCCTGAAATCCTTCCTCCAGCCCCAGAACAGTACCACAAATTTAACACAAATATATATCTTGAAAAAGATATGAAAAGGCTGTGATGTAACAGGTCTGAGGAAATCCAGGATAAACAGGCAGAAATAGTGTAAAAGGAGAGGTTGGGCTGAGCATCATGTGACATGCTACTGAGACACCAATAAAAACGTTTAGTGTAGATACCCCTGGTGTCCTCCAGGTATTATGGATTTCTGCTCCCATCAGCCTCAGGCAGCATACCCAAGGTATAAGGATTCTGGGCACTGTAGTACAAGACATCTACAGGGTACCAGATATGGGAGGACTGCTTTAGGGCAGTATTTATGTTCCTATAGTTGCATTATGTATAACTTCTGTTGTTCATAAAATTATCATTCCACTTAATAAAATTTAAAAGTAAACTTAGTAAATTTGTGATTATTCTCTGAATAAAATTTGCCTTTAAATTCACTATACTAAAGATGATAACTTTATGAGGAACCAAGATATACGTTACATATGTTAAGCCCCCATTTAATGTTTTGCCAGAGGAAACAACAACATACTTCAAGAGCTGGAAGAAAAGTGAGAATGCAGCACAGCATCTGTTTCTATTTGCAAAGAAGTTTAGGGGAATTCCTGCACCTGTTTCTGTTTGTGAGGTAGAGCACATGGAAATCTGGTCTGAAGGAAAAACCCTCAAGATTTTATTGGGAAAGTTCAGAAACTGTAAGCAAGGATATTTAATTTAAGAACCTGGAGGAAACAATACTATGGCTCCTAGACAGCATCTCAGGGGCTATAGGATGCCTTGGAATCCTCAGTCCAAGGTCTGAGAAATACTCCAGCCTCATAGTGGGGAATCAGAGAACCCTCATCTTTCCTCATAGCTGGCTCAGAAAGAACCATGATAACCATCCTCCAAAACTGAAAAAGGAAAAGGAGGCATTTCAGAGGGCAGGAATGGGAAGAGGCTCAAGAGGACAGGAACTGAGGTATCCTGAAGCCTCCTCAGACTCTTCCTCTTCCCCTCTAAAATGCCCCAGCTAGAGTGAAAAATGTTGTTCCCTCTAGATAAGGTGGCTCCAAGCCTTCAGATTTATGGAATTACAGACATGAAGGCTGCAACCCACAGGCCTGTGCCCTTAAGCAATTTCATCTTAAAATGGTGCATACAAGAGGAAGGGTCTTTTCGGCTGTGACACTTCATCTATAGAATCAGCTCCCCAGGAAGATACGCCTGGCACCAACATTATATATGTTTCAATGCCAGGTTAAAACTTTATTTTCTTGCCATATCAACTGTTGATGTTATTAGTTGGCTTTCCATTGGCTTTTATTCTATTTTGGCACATGGGGAATAGTTACTATGCATTGCTTTGTTTATTGGTTGATTGCACATGTCTCTTGATTTTTATAGTCATGCAGATATTTTACGACAGGCGTGTCTGTTCTAAATGTACTTGTAAATTGAGTGATATAGGGTATATTTTTAATTATATTCTGTACACTGTTCTGAAAGAACTGTTAAACAGTATTAGAAATGCTTTAAACAAACATGTTTGAATAGTGACATTTCATTTTTTTAATTTAATTTCTATTAATTAACTTCTTACTTTTTGTACAGGTGGTCTCTAGTAGTTCTGCAAGTCTCATTCCTATGCCCTAAGAACCAGGCTACTGACCTTTTTTTAGGTAAAAAGTGTTTATTCAAGAGCCAGCAGTTAAAAGAATGCATTGCTAAGGCAGTATTTCCTAGTGGTAAGATGCAATTAGTGCTAAGAAGCTGCCTAGATAATCCATCTGGATTAGTGGGTGGCATACAAATTCAAAAATAAATGAATAAATAAAATAATTAAGAACTTTATTAAAAACTGTGTTATTGAATTCTATTGACCCAAGCCTCAAAGTTAATTTTGTTGAAGAGGTGGGATAACTTACAAGCTGTTTCATTGCATCTGGCAACAGCTGCCAAATAAACTTCAGTGGTTGTTTTTTTTTAGGGGGGGGCTTGGGGCGTTTATATTCAAACTACATTACTTGAGTGCTACAGCATCTAACATGAACAAGCCCAGAAACACAAGTATCTGTTGACTGATTGATTGATTGGATCTATATCCCACCCCATTAGCCAGCAAGGCTTTCTGGGTAGGTTACAAGATCATGGAATATATAATGTACACCATAAAATAACTTTTATTAAATTAACAATTAATATAAGAGTAAATTCCAAATAGTCTAACAACAAAATACGATTAAAAACTTCAGATCAACTTTGCCAATAAAGATATAATAAAAGGCAAAACAGCAAGATATAAAATAAGATGTAAAATGTTGTAAAACCTTAAAATTATCTTAATTAAAATATCAGGTAAATAAAAAGGTCTTTGCCTGATGCTGGAAAGAATAAAGAAAAGACATCAGGTGAACCTCATTAGTGAAGTGATTCTATAGTCTGGGTGCCACTACCAAGAAGCTCCTCCTTGGAGCAACCCTACTTATTTCCTGGAGAGGGGGCTGCCTTATTCTGGACCGACTGAAGTTTCTGGACCATCTTCAATGGAAGCCCAATATAGAGAAAATTGCAATAATCCAGATGAGAGGTTACCAGAATGTGAATAACTGTTGCAAGGTTCTGTATGTCCAGATAGTGGGATAGCTGTGGAAAAGCATGGCAAGCAACCACTCTTGTATACTCTCTGTGCATCTCGGAGGGTGGGATTTTCCCTTCATCTTGGAAAGGAGAAAAGCTGATTCCTCTTCCTAAACCTTTGGAGTATATGCAAATGATTCAGAGGAAGGGTGAGCCTTTCACCATGCTGTCCAGGAGAAATTCAAGCAGCAAACTCTCTCAAGCGTAAAAGAAAAAGTTCGTCCTGCCACTGGCCCCCAGGGAAAAGCTACCTAAATTTCATGGTGGGTTGTGGAGATATTCAGAAGTGACATGATACTAGAGTCCCTGCACTCACATTTCAACCAGTGTGAAATGCAAAACTAACCATCACTCTGAATCCCCTACTCATGGCTAAAAGACTTGTAGACCCTGCAAGGACAAATTGCTTCGAACTACCACCATAGTTAAATGGGAAATATTTATTCTGGTCAGTGATCTTCCATGTCCAGTGAAATTTCACCAATTCTGATTTATTTTAAGCAAACAAACAATACAGTTTCTCATCCTCTTAGAACACTGGCTATATTCAAATATACTGCTCATCCATAATGAAGAGAAATGAAGGCAAACATCCACACCCTGCTTGTTTCAACGTCTCAATAGTGTGCTGTAAAATTATTTTATGGGTGCAGGACATGAAGTCCAGTACAAATATGCATTTATATTCCATTTAATAGCACTCTGTGAAGGCAAATAGGAATATTGCTACTTGGCTCTTCAAACTGCATATAACAAAACAATTCTAATAAAGAATACAAAAATGAGCCATCCTCCCAAACTTCTGCCCGGGATTGCTTGTTTCCTGGTGACAGTCTGTTCCAAAATATGAAACACATTTTAGCTTGCTATCCTCAGACACTGCTGCCAAGCTGCAGATGGATCATAAACATGCAAAACATACTAGGCCTATAAAAAATCCAAGCCACGCACCACAAATATTAACATGACACTGCTATAATTTCCTGATCTAGGTCAAATCTCAGCAGGAAATCTCATTGTCTATTTTTATTCCCAATTCACGAGAACAGCTTTACCTTTCTGTTTTCTTGATCAGCACAGCCCTGAAGATTTGTGCCTGGGGAGTCTTCTCATTCTCATTAGTGGGCTGCACAAAGGGATGGACAGCCGCCAACATGAAGCCCTGTTGGTACCATTCTTGCAGCTGGGAGGGAAGATCATGCAAGGAGGAGAGCCTGATTGCTGATGATCCTGGTAGCTCTGCTGGGAATAAGACAGAGAGAGGGAGAGACTAATCAATAAACCCAAAGTGTTGGGTGAAGGTTAACCGTTTAAACATCTACTCCTCACTGATAACAAAAGGGCCTCACATAGTTCTGTAAAGTTGCTGCATACTTCCCTTGATTTAATTTTCTTTGCTTTTGTAACTTACTGAAAAAATATGTGTACACCTAAAAGGACACATAAGGCAGCAAAACCTATAACCACAAGTAATGTCAATATTTTAAATTACTGAATTCCTGTCTTTTCCCTAATCAACACCCACATTTCAGACTACAATGCAATTATTTTTGGGCAAGTTCAGAACAAAGCTAAAGTCTGAATATGCAAATATAAGCAAATAGTCCCAGAGAACTCATGGGAGCTTACAATCAAAGACACTTCATGAATACCCCACTCTACACACACACACACGGGGGGGGGGGGGATTTTTGCCATCTATCCAGCTCTGCAAGTGTTGACTCCATTTCACAGCTTTTGCATCTAATTTCTTTCCCACTTGGGAGAAATTCATACTGCTTTAGATCCTGATCTTCAGAGATATTCAGTGTGTCTCGGTTCCATTAAGCATCAAGCAAGAATAAGAGCTTGCTGAAGATACTGAGGTCCTTCATACAAGCTTTTGGATGTAAAACTCTATGGAATATACTCCGTATGAAAGATAACACACACTGAAAAAATTATTTATTCTGCTGCATTTCCCTCAAGAATATAAGGCTACCGCTTTTTGAATAATGAAAGAAGTTATCACAAAACCTAATAAATATTCAGAAACTAATAATAAAAGGCATAATTTAAATAATAATAGGAGATGAAGTTGCTACCCTATATTCCTGCTACAGTTTCTCTTAACCTGCAAGAACTATATTGAAAGAATATACAATGGAGCTTCTGATTGAGGAAAGCAGGTCACACAATATTTTTATTTCTTTAAACAAAGAGAAAGAAACTCAAGAAATGCATATATTGATACATGATGCATCTCATATTTCTATCACAGCATACAAATTAAGTAAAATTCACAACAAAAACACTATGCAATGTAATACAATGCATATACTGAAAATAATATAATGCATATACTGAAAAATAAATAGAAATAACCAAGCAAGCTGTCAATCAGACTATGTACCAAGCATACAAAGCATTTTAAAAAATATATACTGAAGATATTTACCTTAAGGAAATAAACCATGCCTTTTGTGTTTAGTATTAGCCCATTTAAGAGCTGTTTTTTGTTTGTTTTTTTAAGTGAGCCTATCTGCTGGAATTACTACAGTGGATGACACTCTATTAACTCCTTGGGATTTTAACCATGACATGGCAGGCCATCATCTCCCACCTGCTGGTATGCCATGAGATCACTCAGGGGAGCAGAATGGAGATGGCAAGAAAATGAGCAACCTCTCTCCTGGAATCAGTGGTCGCATAGGAATGGGCTCGGGCTGCAGAGACTCTTGTGAGAAAGGCCAACTGAGAGGCAATGGCTACCTTGACACCCACCCTCCTATGTCATCACTCACTTTTTCCCCCCTGTGCAGAAATAGGTACAATGCTTCAGGCCTTATGTACACAGAAAGTGACTTGACAAAAGCTTACCAGAGCCTGCTATTACAAGCACAGGAGAACTGGCAGACCTCCTTCCTGCCCTGTATGTATCACAGGCAGAACAAGGAAGCGGCCTGGCCTGTGCCTTCAGGTGCCTGCTCCTGGAGAGTAGCTAGCGTTCTGAAAGCCTGACTGGACAAACATTTGGAAAAGATGAGGCCCATGGGACAGAGGATGCCCTCCCCTGACCTAAGTATTACTTGTAAGGCATTGCTGTGCAGTTTTGTTCAAATGCTGGCATAGCAATGCCTCAGAAAAAGTAGGGTAAAGAAAGGAATGGGGAGAAAAAGAAAAGTATGAAGTGGGAGAAGGAAAATGGCAGGGGATGTTGCAAAGGTTCTACAGCTTTAAATCCACTGCCAATAAGAGCTATGATATTAGATTTGAAAACACGTGATATAGTAGCACATAAAAGCTGCAATAGGAAAAGTAATTCTAAAGACAGAGTTCTGAGGAAAAAAATGTCAGGACAATGATTAGGGAGTGTTCCACACATGAGAATTAAAATTTGGAGTATTTTGGCACCAGGTCCTGGCTTGGGCCTGCTCTTCTCCAACAGCCACACCAACTTCTCACAATCATGAGGCCCTCTCCTTTATACTGGAATACCCCTCAAATGACCAAGGTCAGCAGAAATAACAGGACAATCTATCATGGGTAACTAGCCAAAGTCAGTTGTTGCGCAATTTGACAACACATGGTTTTTCCAGGGGTTGTTTATATGATGTGTTGCTCATATTGACCAAAAAATTCCAGTTTATACATTCATTGTTCAGGAGTTGGACTCAATGGTCTAACAGGCCCCTTCCAACTCTACTATTCTGTGTTTATATATTATTATGGTTCATCATATTGCGTGAATCCTTGTGTGAATGCTGGGATCAGCTAGCAAGGTGCACAAGAGCAGCTAACTATTCTGCAGCTCTTTGTGTTCTTACCCAAGCCGTGCAGTGTCTGTCCTGCTTGAGGAAGGGCCCAATGTCTACATGGAACTTCAGAACAACAACAGCTGATTCACACATTTTTTTGGTCCCAGGAAATTGCACAAGTGTGTGTGTATAATTTTTATTATAACTATTTTTGATAGTGTTTCATAAGTGTGTTCCTACATCCAACATATGTAGTCTTGCCTGGTCAATTGCCATATTTAAGGGCTGAGAAGTAAATGGAGGGGAAGTCTGCAACAATTTAAGGGCTAGGAAGGAAATGGAGAGGAAATTTTGTGCATCTGCCATTACTGCTTTGAAAAGGATCCCCTCAAAATAGCGGGAGAAGTAAGAGATTAAAGCTAGCTGGTGCAATTACCATTTTATCTCAAAGTTTTAAGCTTAATTTAATAACAATATTCCTATGGTCCTTCTGACAACCATTTTCAAGCTCTGCCAAGACATGATAAATTCTTGTTCATTAACCAGTAATCTGTGTGTTCATCCTGTAGAAAGCTAGCAATGTAAAGATGCATTAGGCCTCATGGTCATAAATTAAGTTTAGCATAGAACTCCCTCCCTAAGATGCAATGTTTTTGCAAAATGCTACATTTTATCAAGACAGTTTATTATTCCAAATAAATTAATGTGAGATCAATGTATCAAATTTTCATCACATTTCTTCCACATGTATGTATCCTGAATGTCTCTCTCATTTTTGTCCATTGGCCCAAACAACTCACAATTTTATTTGCTGTCATTTCTTCATAGTCATGTACAGGAACATTTGAGTTACCACACTCATGTGCAATTATTCAGAAGCAATGAAATTTCATTACTGCAGACTTAAGCATATATAATATAATAGTCTTTCCATGCACCTGCCTATGCTGAATTACAAAACCATCCAAGTTTGAGAAAATTTGGAGAGAGAGGTACAACGGCGTACACAATCCTAAGTCTGTACAAAGTCATCTTACTGGCTTAACATCCATATACATTGCTCTTGACATGAAAGATACAATCCTTCTCCTAAGCATTCTACCTCTATTGAATTGATTAAAAAAAGACTGAGCACATGACGAAAAGTGGTATCCACAAAACTTGTTGTGAGAAACTCTCACCTTAGAAATTTAGGTACTTCCGAAAAGAGATGCTCAGGTAAATTAATTCTGACTAATCCACTGAACCAGAACAGAATTCCATGCAGCCAGGCTTTAGGATTCAATATCGAGAATAGGTAATTCAGTGAACATTATATCTTCCTGGAATCCAGTTAATTGCCATTCTATAAGAAGGAAATGAATGGCACTGCAGTAAAGTAAGCAATGTTTAAAAAGGCTGTCATGTTACAAAGTATAATGAATGTAGGCCTCCACCCACAGGCTCAGCTCCAACCCAAAGTACCATGTCCCTAAATGAACAGTTTTAGTTAAGCTCCGATTAGGGACTTTTGTCTTTCTATTTGTCTGTGCCACTGGATTCCAGCTTTGCATTAAAATATGAACGTACCTGTCATGGGGTGGCAGAGCTAAAAAATAACAGGGTCTTTAAAGTAACACACCAAAATTAGCTTAAATTAATAACATTAATATGGCATGTAGTTGTTTTCTAAAGCATTTGGCAGTGCTGCTGCTGTTAGCTTTAGGTTAGTAGGTGATTTAGTTAGTAGGTTAATGTCTTCTTAAAGTTCAGAGAATCTTGTGAAATGAGTCACAAAACTGTCTGGAGGCATATCATGATTCTATCTCGTTAAAAATAATCAGGCTTTGGTTCAGTAACTTGAAAAGAAATCAATTAGGGAACAAGGGGCACAGAGGGGGCGGAAATAGCATACATACATGAAGAGATAGACAAACCACAAGATGCTGCAGTGCTTGACAAGCTTTAGCTGGAAAAAAAGTAGAGCAAAGCACCTCAACAATTATTCAAATGTCTGACACATTCTGGATTAGAAAAAAGGCAGCTGAGACATTGCTCTAGAGCCTTGGGCAGAACCAGACAAGAATGCATATGACCAGGGCAAGATACTCTGGCTCTGACCTAATCTTCTACCCCCACCAGGTGTAAATTTCTACTCTGTTTGAAAGCAACAAGGTCTTGAGGATCTAGTACTTCTCCTCCATTGGGTGGCCATCATGGAGATTCTCTAGTTTGTGAACTTGGATCTCTCAAGTACCAACTCTAACAAACTATAGACTCCTGTGTGGGGGGACACCATCTCCGGGTAATCTAAGAACCTTTGCATTATAATTGATAAAGCATGCAAGATTAAAGGGATAGTCTATCCTTAGCACCATATACCAATCCACAGAGCTGAAGTTTCTCAAAACACATTAGCTCCAATGCACTGGAAAACATACAAAATGGTGACCAGGATGCCAACACAAAACTAAATAAAACAGAAATCTTGTGGTAGACTGGAGTGGGGGGAAGGAGCTGAATACT